TCATAAATTACACATTGCAAAAACGTTGTCTTTCTTAAACCTTGACGCTTGGCTTGCTGCCATGGCATGTTTCACCCTAGCTAGAATCTTGCTATAAACAGGCTTGTAAGGCCTGGACTTAAACCCGAAAAATCCGAGCCTTAATAAAAATGGACTATACAACCCCATTTGCAGTGGAGACAAGGACATAATAGAACTCGTTAACTTTAATGGGCTGTGTTGTAGGGGTTCAATTATATGCACCAAAATCCCGTTATGTTATTTGGGCATCTCATATGCTCTAAACCTAATCGCCTAAAGTTGAAGTAAGCAGACCGAAAGGTGATCTAAACTAGGGTGTAAATGATGCGAGTTGAACTCGAGTACCGAGACTCTAACTCAATGGCCATTTTTCAGGCTCAAGCTCGACTCGAGAACTCGCAAGTAGTTAAAATCCAAACTCTAATCGAACTTGATAGCAATTTTCCAAACTCGAACTCGTTGGAAGCTAAGCATAAATATATGTGGAACTATTTTCATATAATTTATAGAAGTTACTCTATGCAATAATAGATGAACTCGAATTTAGTTTGAAAGTTTCAATATAGACACGTATCCCAGGGGCGGATGCAATAGCAAAAAGGGGAGAAAGGACCAGTCAAAAACTCAAAAAAAAAAAAAAAATCCTAGGTTAAAATTTAGGTTCTACATGATTTACCTTTCACTTCCCCCCATTACATTTTTTCACGGTCCCCAACCTCAATCGAAACCGTTAATCTAACCAAAAAAATCTATTGAAATCAATCATAAAAACCAAAAAAGTTATTCGAAATCAACAAAAACACTAAAAAATCCTTCGAAATTAACCAAAAAACTTAAAAAATCCCTCGAAACGTTGTAATTAGATTAAAAGCACATCGGACGATTTTGCGGGTTTTTAGTCTACCTTAAAAGTGACCCCACTGAACAAAAATCCTAGATCCGCTACCGTATATCTCTCCCAAGTGCAAAGTCCAGATAAACAACATTTCCAAAAGTTTCGGTCCCTTTTATACAAGACCCCTCTCTTTTCACTTTCTTAACCCGTCGATATATCATTAATGGCTTGAATCCTCCATCTCACTTTCACCTACCCTCGTTAAATCATAAATAAACCATTCTCTTATTATAATGATTATAAATTTTGACTATTTTTCTCCGTCCCCTTCCCCATCGGGGAATTTGATGACATCCACATCCCTGTCCGTACAGGGAACGGGGATTCCCAACGAGGAAACAAAGATTTTTTTTTCTTTCTGTTTGTATAAGTTTTTAATTGTGAATCAAACGTGTGAGAAGCCACACATATTTAAATTTCACATTTTTTCAATAAACCTAAAATCAAAAAGAATTTAATTTAATACAAAAATATACATCATCATAAAATAATTAATAAATCGAAAACCAAAAGAAATTAGATTTAATCTAAAAAAAGTAACGGTCATATCTATACTATATTATAAAGCATTTGACAAAAACTCTTAAAAACCGTTTTTATCCATTTTGAAGTTTTGAAGTGTTTTGCTTGATATTTATCAAATGTGTTGATAATTTGATTTGATTTGCATCTTGGGTATTTGATTTATAGATCATGTAGAATGCCTAAAGTTGGGGTTTTGGACATTTTGTTAAATAAATCATAAGAATGTGTTCTTTTCATGGTTCATTTTATCATTGGAGGTTATTGATGTTAATAACTTTTAGTGTATTTGGCTTTATAAACTGTTTTAAAATACATATTATTGTGTTATAAATAATTTTTGAAATGTAAATTGAATGATTTCATTTGGGAAATGATGTATCCCAACCATTGATGGGTTTTTGAGTTAATTATATTTTTGAAGCATGTGTATGCATAAACGTTGGTTAAATGTGTTTTTATTGCTTATGTTGACTTATATTGAGCACTCAAATAAGTGTGGGGAGTATATTGGGTTAATTTTGGCTCATTTAAGTTCTAGGAGCATTTGTCCAGTTAAATTTAATCTATGTTGAGCTTTGGACATGATATGCATTTAGTGCATTTTTATTTTCGAATTACATGTTTAGGTGCGTTAGTCATTCATTTGGAGTCATATAATTTAGACTGTAATGCATTAGATCCATAGGTATATGATTCAATCGTGTTTGATAAATAAGGAGTCTTAATGTTCTCACTTTGTGATCAATGCTCGTGTAAGCATTGTGGTTGTCTTGATATTGCGGAGGAGAATTCTTATGAGTTGGACTCTGGGATCGTGAGTATTGTGGTTTTGATGCTTTAACCCTTATGCATGAAGGTTAAATGTCATATGTTGTTAAGTAGGAAGCGTGATGTTCCTATCTTGAATGCTAATGGTAGACACTAAAGGTCGAATGGGAACCTTGAGGTCGGAACTCAACTAGAGAATGAACAGACACTAAGATCTGGTATCCTTGAGGTGACACTTGGTAGGGAGTGTGCACTAAACGTACCATGGCCTTGAGGTGACGCCCGACTAGAGTGTGCACTAAAGGTATTGAGGACTTGAGGTGACACTTGATATAGTGTGCACGAAAGTCCATGAATCTAAGATGCAGTTCGATAACTTGGTACATGGTCTACTCTTATGTTCCGTCACATTCGATGGATACAAGTCTCCCCCATCATCAAAAGGTGTTAATTTTGGATAGCATAATATCGATGTTTATGGTGTTGTTTTGGGGTATGAAGTGTATCCATAATTTATGATTTTGGTATCTTGGAACTTATCCATGTTTTGATGTTTTGGATAATGGAGTTTTATCTATGTTTTCAGTATTTGGATATCAAGCCTTACTCATATTTTATGTGAGTATTGGGTTCTGGTTTCATGTTAAATGAGTGTTTTGATTAATGAGTTTTCACCACAAAAATTGTGGGTTTGGAAAAGATGTGGCTTTTACATTTAACACATTTCAATTTGGAAATTATGATTTAATTAATATCTGTTCAGTTTTACGGTTTCACATTAAAGATGAAATTGTTTGAACTCACTAAACGTTAAGCCTAACACTTTTTCTTATTGGCATGTACGTTAGGTCCTCGTGGGGGACGGTATTAGCAACACTTGAATAGAGTTGAGCACTAGTTAGAGACTCATGAATGACTTAAATCTTTGGGACATTTTCGTGTCGTTGGATTTAGCGGCTTTCAATGAGACTTAGAGTAAAACCAGTCTTAATCTAGTTTCTTTTAGATTTAGATATTATGTCGTTGATTTGAGCTTTATTGTATCATTGTATGTAAGTATAAAGATGTTTCCTGAGAAGTTGTGTTGACTTCAATGTTTTGATAGAAACTTTAATTTAGTCCTTCTATCCAGATTTCGGGGCATTACAGTTATGGTGCGAGATGAGTTGATTTTTTGATTTAACAGCCCCAAAAATTCGGACCTTCATTTACCTTCAATTGATTGTTGACCAAGTACATGGATCTTCATCTACCTTAATCTTTACTTTTATATTCACTTTCACTCACCTTCACGAACTTTTAAATACATTAAATTACTTTTACATGCATGAATTTGTTAAAATTTGAGTCTTAATGATAGAATAGATCAAATGAAGGTAAATTAATCAAGGCTTTATTTTTTTATTTTTTTCGATTAACCTGGATATCCAATCCGTTATGCGAGCCGACTAATCCCAGGGCGACCATCTGCTTTGCAGATAGTCCGGAGTCACCGCATTTGAACCTCCGTAGCCACAAGGGGATTCTTATTCCTCCTTGGATTTGAACCTGGGACCTCCTGATACTTTATTCTTAAGTTTTCACCACTACGATTTCTCTATAAGAATTCTCATAAAAGAAAACCATGTGTTCCATATATTGTGACATGGTATTAGAGCCAACGTCTAGAATCCATGACCAACAAGCTCAAACTACTTGTTGATGCCACCATGGAGAAGGTAATCAATACCAAGTCATGCATATGGTCAAGATTGACGACTATAATTACCTTTTGAAATCATTGAAAACCCATCTTTTACAAGTCAAAAGCTAGCATCATGATAAGCTAGCTTTTTGAAAAAGTTATTTTATATGCTTATTGAGGTTTTTTTTTTCACAATCATTCTCCTTATATTTTACACGAATGTCCCTTATATTTTTTTAATTAGGTCATTTGATATTGTTAACTAAGGAGTCGTTTACCAAACACTTACTTGGTAAGTGTTTACGGGTAAAATTTAACACTATTATTTACTTACCAGGTAAGATTTTAGTTCACCAAAATGACATCCTATGCCACAATTTACCCGGTAAGCGCTTACCGTGGTAAGAGTCATCGTCCTCACTTACCGGGTAAGACTCATTGTCCTTGTCTCGCTCTTGCCGTGTAAGATTCTTGGTCCTTACATATTCATTCGATGAGGTAACATGACTTGGTAAGCGCTTACCCGGGTAAGTGTTTGGTAAACGCCCCCAAGTTATCTGCTAGTTTTTTGTTATACCAAAAGTGACCATCTTATATATCAAGTGACATCTACCCTTATTAGCCATTAGTTTTTTAGTTGACAAACTAAGGTTAGGCATCATTAATTACAACGAAAGTAGGTTTATAGAATGTTTATATAAAAGTCTATATGTCATAATAAAATACTTTATAGGACTTAGGTTTATAAAATGATACAATAAAACGTCATATCTAAAAGCTTTACGATAAGTTCATATGACGTTTCGGGCTTTTTAACAAGTTTTTAGCCATTTTTAAAATAATATCGTATTAGCTATTTTATAAGACATGTTTGAGAAATGTCTTATAAACTCATCTTTTTAAATGACACTTTATAAAGACAAATTTTCAAATAGTTAATACGATATTTTACTTTAAATATATACTAAAAACTTCCTATAAACCTGATTGTAACAATTTGGCTATCAAAGGTGCTTATTATGATACTGAAATTTTGATGAGGTTTGATCCCTTTAATCCCTTAAGATACATGAAATTGTGGATACATTAATGAAGTGCACTTACAAATATACCTACAGATTATTACAAGTAAGCTTAGCTGATCGGTTAACGTTCAAAACTCCATATGTTGATCAAAATGAAGTTGGTTCAGTTCGAACCACACCTGTCGAAAGACATTAACAATGAGATCATGAAATCCATCACAATTTAGTGTCAAATAACATGCCAAAAGTTCCTCAAGTTCTTCACGTTTCTTCAGTTGCTTCTCCATTATCATCTCCGTCATCGACTCTCTGAAATCCTTCTGTGGATTGTATGAAGTTTTCACGATCGCAAAACTGTCGAAATCCGTGCTGAATGCATCTTCAACCACCCTCCTATCTTTCTTCATCTTCATCCATGGTTTCTTCACATCTGAGATCATTTTGTCATCTGTCCTTGGAGAATTATAAGTTCTGACTTTTGGACCATGCTTTGACCTTATGTGAACAGATTTCCGCTGGTTTTGATCCTCATTGATTTCCATGTTTTTCAGTTTCTGCCATTCTTTCTCCAAGTTGGAATCTTGAGGAAGGTAATGATCTGGAGGTGACTTCTGAAAACCCTCATTTGAGTCTGTTTCTCCATTGATGAATCCTCTCATTTCGGTTCCGTGGATGATCAAGCTTCCATGACCGATAGGAGAAACGTTGAGTTTATGATCTGAATTACACAGAATCTTGAAACCTTCTTCGTCCCTTCCTTTTTCCAATGAAACCTTCCAGTCAACATCATCATCTTCTGAAATCTTGTTAGCTGTATTTCTCCCCACGTCTGTAGAATGAAGTTGGTCTTCATCAGGTCTTGCATCGCCTTGTTTGTTCTTGAGGAAGACATGATTGGAGATCGAAGAAGAAGGTGTCTTCTTTCTTCCCCATTTCGTCATTTTGATGAAATCAATCAATGGTTGATCTTGTCGTTTTGGAACAAATATATGTTTGAAGTTGAAGAGGAGTTGGGAATGGTGGTGGTGGTGGTGGTGGTTGTTAAGAAGGTGGTGGTGGTGGTGGTGGTGGTGGTAGTGGAGGTGGTGGTGGTGGTGGTGGTGGTTGTTGTATTTGATTTGAAGTTCAAACAGAAAGGCCCGCCATAGATTCTGTGAGCATCACTTTTTGCACTTTACTTTAGTTGTTGCTGTAAATTA